CACCCCCACCACCACCCCCCACCCCCCGCAGTATGTGCTCCCTTCTTGACATTCATTCTTGGTGCCACGGGCATCTCTGTGCTCAACTTGCTGCGTGCCTCTTTAGGCACCAAGTTAGATTCATTATTGTATAGAATATTGTATGGCAGACTGCAGGACTGCATTCCACTAGGCCACACGGTGCCGGGAAGCTAAGCACAGTAACAGTAAATGTAATGATGCCAAAAGTCCTTTCATCACTGCAGGCCTTCATGGCTCTCAGGCCAAGACCTGGCCCACAGACCCAAAACTCGTACTTAATACAGTTTTTCCTTGCCAAAGCTTTAGAGGAGCAAAATCTCTAGCACTCAGAAAGCTGCCAAAGTGATATGAGTCAGAAATAATTTCTAAGAAGTCCCATTAAAAAAGCTGACCTATGTACAACAGGCATGCTACGTGGACACCACTGCTACCTGGTTTACCATAATCTGACCGCTTTAGCGATCTGCTGAGTCCCCGGGTTGTGTGCTGGATGCAACTGCCTATGCCAAGCACTCGCCTCTTTCAACATCTCCGAGGTACCACACCCTCTCCCTGTGCCACAAAGAGATCAGGAGCTGCTCAAATTAAATCCCTTTATTAATGGAATGGTTTTAATAGACCAAAAATGAAATGGATGAAAGGAATGCTTGTCCTTTACGGTTGCCAGAAAAAGTAAATATTGTCGACAGACATTATACAGTTCTCTTTTAACCAAAATTAAATACGGTCCATAGCAAAGCAAGCAATCTGTAGAAATGTATTGTTATGCTGCTATTACAAACTATTTACATTGGATTAAAAACAGGTGTGTCAAAGCCAGCTTTAACCTTAGTTGATTACTGTTATGATTCTGTGCATCTTGCCCTCATCTCCCCTTTTTGCTATTATATATAAATCAGGCATTAACAAGGTTAAAAATGTGAGTGATCACAAAGCAATCACAAAACAAGCTCTGAGTAGCAGAGACAAAGAGCGAACTCCCTTCCTCACCACCCAGCACAACTACTCTGTCACCCTCCTTCAAGATTTAAGAAGAAGGAATTTATCACCTCCCTGCAGCCTCTTCCCATATCCAACCATTTGTCTCTCCAATCAACTTACTTTCAGTGCCAGGAATCCCAGCGAAGGCAATACCTGGTACAAGAATATACATTTTAAATATACATATTTTAAAGGAGCGTATTTTCTTCTAGCAGTATTGTGTGCTGTCTCTACGAATGCATGTTCACAGTAAAACCGTGTCAAATAAATATTTGAAGGAATCAGCACAGTGCACCCAGTTTCACTTTCCAAACGGAAAGTGGTGTGTCTGTTTTTAGTGGTGGTATAAGGCAGAGACTTAATACAAATCCAACTTTGCTAAGTCACGATCATGAACAAAGAAATCCTGCCTAATTACAAAATACTTGATTAACAACTGAGCCAAACAAAGGGATAGGTTTACTATACACCAAAGCTATTTGCTGAAAAGGACTTCACTGGTGGTTTCTTAGCAGACATACAGCACAGAGAGTATGTTTTTTCAGTTTGCAAAAAGGATTAATCAGAATAGTTTGTCCATTCAATCAAACATTGCTCTGCTGTAACAACATCGTTCTCAGTTCCCTCTCTCTTTGATCCTCCTGCCTGTATTTCTCCTCTAGTTTTTGTTTTTCAGAGTCCATACTATAAAAAGTAGAATCTGTGCTTCTCCTAATCTTCTCAAACTGACTGAAATCCGCAACGTACTTTCCATTTGGAGAGAGAGAAACCACAGGCACGAACTCGTAGCCCCAGTGGATCTCCTCGGGGATGTAGGAAGTCCTGCTTTGGCAGACAGCACTGGTGGACTCCACCGTGGCGTTCAGGAGCACCACAAGCTCGAAGTCCTTCTCCTTGAGATTTTGAGGTGTGAGATCTCTCAAAGGGCTGCTTTCATCCAAAATATGGTAGAAGGTTAAAGGCAAAATGAGAAATGGACTCTCTGAAGAGGAGTCAACGTTGAACTTGACACTGGCTTGATTCAGAAGGATCCGCTACCCTTCTTTGGTTTCATACGTCTGAAGAAGCTTCCCAGACAGCTGACACTGTATCAGAAGACTCTTCCTCATATTTGCTACTCTGATCACCAGGCAAAGTTCTCCATTGTGTTTAGTAATGACGGCACAGTGGCTGAATTTAATAGTCTCTGCCCTTTTTTTAGGTCTTGCAATTTTGGCTAGAAAGGTACCTGTGATGAAGATTTCAATCAAGGTGGTGATGACCAGTTGGGCCACAAGTAAGAATATGGCATGAGGACACTCCTCTGTAATGAAACGAAATCCATAGCCAATGGTTGTCTGTGACTCCAGAGAGAAGAGGAATGCCCCAGTCAGAGAGTCTACATTCTTGACACATGGCTCGCGCTTTGGGGTGAACTTGTTTATTTCTAAATCACCGTGAAGGAATGCAATGGCATAGTAGATAACTCCAAAGAGGAACCAGGTCATAACAAAAGTAGCAGCAAATAAGGTGAGTTTGTACCTCCACTTCATGTCTATAACTGTAGTCCACAAATCTTGAAGGTAGAGTAGGTAAATGCCATCGACTTTGTCTATCCGCACGTTGCTGTGACCACTTTTGGACATCACACGGGGTTTGTGTGCCTTGAGCGTGGCAGCGTCGATGCCTCCGTTAACCAGCGGGACGCGGGACATATTAATCTTTGTGGTTTCCATTCTCACTGCTTCAGTCCTAAGGAGAGAATAAAGACTGTTATTTAATGAAATCAAAGCACATAACTGATTCTGAAAAGCATTTGAAAATGTTGATGGAGAGAAGGCACAAACATAACCTAAACGCAGCAGCAGTGAATAAAAAGAGTTGGAATATAAAGTTACCATCATACAACATCTGACATTACAAATAATTTGATATTCATTTTTCCAGGAAAAAAAAATCATTCTTTGATTCTGGTGACTGCCAAATATGGAGAAGTAGGTTTCTTTTATGATAGCCTGCAAAAGAAATTTGACCAAGCTGAAATTTTATATTAGTACTTTATTTCTGTAAAATGCATTAAAATTTTTTTCTTACGTTTCTCTAGAGAAGAGGCTCTTTTTGATTACTGAGCAGGTTTTCTTCAATGCCCTGAAGAGAGACATCTGATCAAAATTAAAGTCGCGTCAATGCTTGGTTTAGAACGCAGATCCAGCACTGTCTCTTCCTGCGACGGAGGCAAAATGAGCCAGACCAGCTTTCACTGTGAACAATTAACTTCCACAAGTGATTTACTCAGTCAGATCTGGCTCTTTGTTACAAACCTACAACTAACCTAGAGGGAAACAAAGCAGACCTGAACACATCAAAGTCGAGTTTTAGAAAGGAATATTTACACCTGAAAACACTTCAAAGCTGTTTGCACTGTACGGCACTCCGATTTTAAGCCGTCTAAGGAAAAAAAAGGAGGCAATTCACAAAGTCAGCATTCTAGCCGTGGGCCCTGACCTGCGCGAACCCAGCAACCATTGGACCACCCGACTCCTGAAGTTTGTTTACTGTGCATCAGTCCGGATGGAGAGTAAGTGTGCAGACACTCAGGACTGAACAAAGCCCACAGAGTGAAGCAGAACGGTGCCTGTGCCAGTTTGATGAGGCAAGTAACAAGACCCGGCTTGCAGGACCAGACAGTGATTACGTAGAGCAAGGACAGTGCGTGTTATAGTCGTTTCCAACAGCAAAAC